ATGGATGCCTTATATCTGTTACTTTTATGAGTTTGCACCTTGAGCTGAAGGAAATTCCTAGTTTGTGACATCCTTAAACTTAAGGCTATAAAGGTTATAAAAGGCTATCTTACAAACGTCTGGTAAAGAAGAACCAAATTACTTATTCTACAAGAAGTTGAACCTTCTTAAACTGTGATGGTATTAAAAAATAATATTGCCTTGGTTTTATAATGCGCCCTTTTTTTTTTTTTAAAGACGCGTCACATTGAATTTTTCTTTCACTCCATATACGGCGGTGATAAAATACAGCTGTAGCAACAGCTGCCCCGGGACACTCTGACAGAAGCTAGGCAACCAGTATGTGCCATCAGCCCCTCTGACCACCACCAACCATTCACACACACACATCAGACTAGAGCCCTGCACGGGCCTATTATCTGGGCCCGAGCCCGGCCCTGGCCCGAGGGGGTGGCGCCCCAGCCCGGCCCGGCCCGATATGGTTTTTGAATTTTCAGGCCCGAAACCCGCATCAAGCCCGCCTTTTTTTTTTTTGTAACCTCCCATAACAATGTTTTAGCGTAGTATATAGTGCCGCGCACTGATATGAACGCAGACTTAGCTAGAGGGCGGAGTTATACATGGTAGTGATGTGTTGCAATGAGTTCTGTGTGTGCGGAGTGGTGCAGAGTGAACGGCCGCATCTGTATGATGCCCCCGATGCTGCAACACATCTGCACATTACATAAGTAATGCTATGTGCCGTCAATGACAACACTACACAGAACAACAAACACTACAGCGTGATAGAACGCTATATTCAGTGGGTGCGCTCGTAAATCTATTCTGCCGCTCTGAAAATGAAGAGCCCGAGCCCGGCCCGTGTCCGAGGTCATTATGCGGTCATCGGCCCGAAGCCCGGCCCTCGGGCTGTCGGGCCGTCGGGGCCCTCGGGCCAAGGGCTCAAGTGCAGGGCTCTACATCAGACTCATTCTAGGCAATGTGGGTGAAGTGACACAACAACTGCTAGGCTTCAGAGGTCTGACAGGATCTGGTACATGCAGGTATGACCACATATTTAAATCACACCTGGTACCCTGTGATGCGTTTATGCCCTGTAGGATTTTTAATTGATTTTCAGGGAGGAGCCTTAGATTTGTTATTCTTTTCTCACAGTTATTTGGGCCTATGGATGAGTAAAAAAAATGCATATCTATAGATCTGGCTTGTCAGATGCTTGGTAACCGGGAATAGCCTTGTTGGTGTGGTGCTCGGACCCCAGCAGTGCAGTTTTCCACACACTGTTAAGCAATATGTCAATACAATAGGAGACACGCTGCTCCTCCACCTGCTTCAGTACGAGACGCAGTAGCACCAATACAAAGTCGTTATAATTACATCTCCACCGAAACATATGTTCACGCTGTGTGGAGATCTGAGCTGTCAAAAATATACTTCGGATTTCAACCACGATTATGGGTTATAACTCTGCTTTACTGCTGCTACTGCAACTACTATACATGCTACCGCTATACCATTTCTATTTACCACAAGTTATGTTGTGACTACTACTAATACTGCAACATATTCTTCCACTAACATTAATATGTATCACTATGTATGATGCTACTACTACTATTACTACTTCTACATCATATACTACCACTACCTTTAACCACAAGTTACTAAAAGCTACTACTAATACAGCAACATATTCTACCACTAACATTAATATGTATCACTATGTATGATGCTACTACAACTCCTACTACTACTTCTACTACCACTACCATTTACCACAAGTTATGTTGCTGCTACTACTAATACTGCAACATATTCTACCACTAATATTACCATCTATCACTATTTTTGATGCAACAACTAGATATACTACCACTTCTGATGCTGCTGCAACTACTACTACTGCATCTACTACTACTATTACCCAGAAAGCCTTGTGATTTCAGACAAATTATTATTATTTGATTTGTGGATTCAATACTTATTATAAAATACATTGCTTTCTTGAGAGGTATGTCAAAGTAGCCTACAAAAACCCCTGACAATCAATATTCGTAAGCGGAAACTAGAAGGAAAATCTGACATCGCAACATTATGTTTTGCTCAAATGTGGGCGGGTGCCTTCTTGCTTTAACCAATTACTGCTATTTTGTCATGATGTATGTAATAAAATACTTTTCAAACACTACATTTCTGTCTTTATCTCAATCTTTCACCACTGCTTTGTTAACTGCATTGTTGAACTACAATCGGCACTCAGCCACCTATTCAGATCTTCCATCTCAACAAAACACACAAGCTTTAGTCCTTAGACCTCACTCACTAGATTGTCACCCACTCTTTTTACCTTCAATTTTAGAGCAGGTAAAAACGCAGAAAGAAGATGTTGCTTAGAAACAAGGCCGATGCATTTTGTTCTAACTGGTTGAAAAACTCGTTAGCTTTTCCACTGCCCTGACCCTGTCTTTAAAGTCCAACCTGAGCATTTTAGTCTCAACTACTCAAGCCACTTTCCACTATCTGGAGGTTGTTTTCTCACAAAGTGCTACTGTCCAGGAGGAGAGTAGAGAGAAAGATTGATGAAAAAACTAATACAGAAGAATGAAGGGCTGAAGCAAGTTAACCGGTTGAAATAAATAGATCAAATATTCTCATTTGTCCTTAAGTGCTGTAGTAATATTAAACTTTTCTTCCAAAAAACACTTCGAAACATTGAATCTTATAAAAGACAATACTGAAAAATTAAACATTATTAAATAGTTCAAGAATTTCAGATAGTTCAAACGTTTTGTCAAATAATTTCCTTATTGTATTTTTTTATTTTATATTACTGTATTTTTTGTTATCTTTGTGACAGAAATTATATCACTTTAAAAATATTTCATAATTAAAGCTACCATATTTTGCTTTTCTTAATTTTTCACAGTCCATTGTACGCACATGTGCGATAATAATTTGGGTGATTGAGTGATGATGTATACAAGACTCAAAACTTCACCTACAGTATAACATCACCTATTGGAACAAGCCGCTTCAGAGAGGATCTCCGCTCCTCTGCCTGTGAGCCCGTCTCCCACCCACCCACCCACCCCTGTTGCTAAGTCTAAGGTAAACAAATCAGTTTTAGCTAACTGTACAGCTTTCGCCATTACAGAGTCATTTCAGACCTGAGAATCACCTTTTTCCAACAATGGCAATCTGTCACATAGAGCCCTATGTCCTCGATCCAGAATCAGACCGTAATTTTTTAGTGAAAAGTGATTTACAGCGGGTTAGTTGCATCGTACCTAAAAACCGTGGTATTTTATGTTGGGAATAACACCAGGTTCCCAGATCAGCTTTTGAGTAGGTCCAGTTTCAAGGTAACCGTAGTTCTATACAAGTTTTGTCGCGGATTTAGCAGCCTGTGAGTCCAAGACACATTTCCTACGAGACATAATAAATTAATCTTGAATCTTGAATTTCAAAGGCAGATCCCTGTGTTGCCTCATGTTAAAACCATAAAAAGTAATTTAAACAATTTAATTTTTGGAATGTTATTTATACCGACAAATATTAATCAACTGCCGCCTTCCATCTCCACGGTGTCCCTGCTTTTCTTCCCCTTGTACTGAGCTCTGCGAATGCACTGGGGGAGAGCTCAAATTAAGCAGATGGAAGAATCAAAAGCGTTTCCATTACAGCGGGGGGGCCTCATCGCCTCACACCCCCTCCATAACGGCACTGTACGGAAACATTACGGGGGAAATATCAAATTAGCCGGTTTCATTTGGACCGGTGTGGAGCCTCGTGAGCGGCTTTGGAGATCCATTGAACAGCCAGGTAATGAGGGCGCCCGCTCTGATACACTGGTAATGTTCTTTTGATTACTTTGGTTAATCTCGCAGTTCCAGGCACAAGGAGGAGGAGAGGGGGCAGAACCAGGCCAATGGAATTCACTTGGAAGAACATGGGTTTCATTTAAAGCGGTGTTCGAGGAGGACAAGCCGAGCATCATGAGCGTTGTGGAGAAGTCTACTTGTATTTAGAATGTACTGAAAAAAATTATAAATGTTATAAAGTACATTCAGTTTGTATGTGTTCAATCAAAGAACGGTACACTGGCAAAAAGTTATGAAAATTAATTTAAAAATGGCTCAAATTTTGCATCTTTTAAGGTCTTTAAGGTCGCAATCATTAAAGCAATTCATTTCTTATTTTAGTACAAATCTTGGTCAATGAGGCTGACCACGCTTCCTCAGAAACAGCAACAGAAACGTACATAACCAAGGCGAGTGACAGTTCTGAAGACGATGTAAAAAAGGTCATTAATAAGAAGAAAAAACAACACATTTTGAATAATAGCAATTTTGTCATATTTCCACCCATTTAACCAATATGATTGACATTGAGAATGTCTTTTCAGACTTGGCCAAGGTAACAGTCCCCTCAATAGAATCCTACAAGTATAAAACATGGACTATCTCAGGTTTAAAAAAATCCCCACATGTCTCCTTTAACTGGTTCTACATGTCAGTCCTTGTACTGGCCTTGTGTTAAACCAAAATCACTGGAGTTCTAATCTTTGAGCAGTGAATAGGGCTTTTTGGCTGGGGAAGGCCATAAAGAGAATAGTACTGACAAAAAGTAGATGATCTTTAAACTCTGTATTACAAACTACTACCACGACTGTTGAAGTGGAAAAAAACAATTTAAGAAATAATTTTGGCAAGGTCAACCTCAAAAAGATAGTATGTGGAAAGTATGCTCAGAGAAGAAAACTTTAGCTTTGGTAAATGTTTGGCAAAGAAACAGCCGTGATTGGGTCAACATTTTTCAGTCTCTTTCAAAACAACATAGGTCATATTTTAGTTTTCTTCACCTCAGGAAACTAAAATATAGCCTTCAAATTAACAATTGCTCTTCACTATGCTGTACAGTGAGCCATTCAAACCAATATGGCACAACACAAGTCGACAATTACAGCATCACCGTGTGTGTTTTTGCATCAGGCCTCTTACCTCTCCACGTGGTCCAGGTTTCCAGATACACCCAGACCTCCGATGGCGTAGAGTTTTCCGTCGTACACCAGGCTGTTGTGTCGACAGCGTGGAACGGTCATCCGCGACACCAGGTTCCAGTTGTCCAGCAAAGACATGTAGCACCAGACGTCAGACAGCATCACGCCAGATTCTGTGCCGCCTGCGAACAGGAGGAAGGCAAACCGGTTACACACCCGAGGGACCATCTGACAATTAGTCAATTTTTGATTATTCAATGATGTTGTCAGACATTTGAGAATGTTTATCCATGGAACTCCAGGGAATGTGAATGTTCAATATGAGGATAGAATAAGATGTATCCCTCATCATTCCTGTCATATAAAACATAGTATGAATTCGAACCAGCTTTAAATACTTGGAATAAAGATGTATTAGACCTGAAATTAATTGCATTAGTAGAAGCCATGAATCTAATTTTCAGTAAAAGATTTCAGTTATATTTTGGGTTTTAACAGCTGTCGTCACTGTGTGTAGAGTGAATTGAAATTGAAAACAAACATTGTAAAATGCTTTGTGTGACCTTGGTCTGTGAAATGAGCTTTATAAATAAAGATTTACTGTTTTTTTTTTTTTTTTAACTGTCAAATCATATCCCCAGACACCAAGCTACACCCTCAGCTTTATGTTTACCATTGGGAATTGTGGCAAACGTAAGTCACGATAGGTTAAGTTAAAAGTTAAGCCCGGTAAACATGTATTATGCAAACACATAAGAAAGATTCATTTAGTAATAACACCTACATTCAATCAACACCACCATCACCGGTAATCAGTGTGCGAGACTTAGCTTCCTCTACTTATTGAACACCTAAATGCAGTGGCCGTTCCTTCTGAATAGGTGAGTTGCATATCATTGTGTGATTGGAAGCAGTCCACAGTCTCGTCATCAGCTCCTGTGCCGTGGTTTTTATCCTCTCCTTAGCCTGAGACAAATGGTCTCTTGAATAATAGATCTCAAGGCTCCATTTTGCCAATTATAAATGGTTGTAACCCAATTACAAACAGGGCTATGATTCACACAGCACAAAGAGGCTGGATTATACAGGTTGCAAATGGCAAGCATAAAAGAAAATACTAAAATGACACTAAAGCTGGGAAAAAGACATATTTTTATATTAGCTTCTGTCACACTCTGCACTTTAGTACTTCATAATGAATTCTTAAGCAGAAAATATTTAGATGAATATGTACAATAGTCAAAGTCTACATGGTTAGTTTTGCTATTGTAGAGATCAACAGAAATGTTCCAATATAGTATAGTCTAGTCCAGCCTTAGCAATTAGCATAACATATTTGAGATTGAACCATTTAGGGCGAAAAAAAGGGGAAGTTCCTCATATTTGCATGGATGGAGCTAAAAACAACAGATGGGCTTATGTTTTAATTTCACAACAATGTTGTTTCAAAACTTAAAAACAAAATCATCTAAAACTACAAAATGGTTTTGTTGTATTTTTAGTTTTAGTTGTATTTTCTTCTTTGCCAAAAGCGATACCAGTGAAAATTGAGCACAAATCAGAATCAATTGAAATGTTTGGTTGTTATTTGAAATGTATAATAAATGCATGGGTACAATGATTCATGTCAGTATTAATGGTGAGACTTTTCTGCAAAAGAGAACACTGTTTTTGGCAAGATGTAGATAACTCTTAGTAAGGCCATTGACCTGGTATGACAGAGAATCCACAGACAAACTCCAGCTGACAATGTTAAACAGCTCTGCAGGCTTCATGACGCCACCTCAGCAGTGAGTCTGAAACCGCCGCTGGAAGAGGAAAGAGCTCTGTGTGACGGATGGTGCTGTGCAAAATGAGGATATATCGCTTGATGTTTTATCAGGAATGGATACCGAACAGAAAAGTGAATGTTCTACATAAATCTAAAACTCAAATTGACTTATTACGCACACTTGACTTTTTAAGAGATTGGGACCATGTTAATGTGGAGTCAAGTAGTTAGTCGAGTGGTTCATGAGAAAATAGCTTGACATTTTGCACATTTAGAGATGATATAAAGGCGAAATGATACCAATAAAAATAAGTACTATAGGCCTGGCATGTGACCCCACTCCCATCTCTGTGTGGAGTGAGACAAGTGCCCACAATATTTGTAAAGTGCTTTGTGACTCTATATGAGGCGCAATAAAAATAAAGATTACTTACTTCCTTACTTACATGTTGTGATAAAAAAACAATTGAAAAGTGGTGGTAATTTGTTTGCATAAGTTAAAAATCAGTGTCTTCATGGTCCTAACATGACAAAATGTGCAAAAGTGTTGTCACTTCCGTAAGGCACTGTGTTTGACCACCGCCGCATGCCTAGTTATTTACTTGCTACAGCATTTGTCTCGTCTGAAAATAAATTCTTCTGCTCACCAAACGGGGTCTTTAATATGACCATTAACAGGGACTTTTTTTTGCCTTTTTAAACTAGCGGGTATGGTCATTGCCTTTGTGTTTGTCTATCTGTAAGTAGAATTGCTGAAAAACTACTGGACAGATAGAGCTGAAATGTATGGACAGAGCTATGGTCTGTCGATCTGATATGTGAGATCATCCATGGTGTTGGAGGGGTATGCACTCTCTGAGAGCATTATAGTTCTAGTGCAAGACTGACATGTTTAAACTGTGGCATCAATTGAAACATTTAATCAATTACCAAAATACTTGATTGTTATTCTAAATATGAATCATTGTTCCTAAAATATTGAATATGAAAACAGTCAGACAGTGCATGGTAAACAGTACATAGTCATATTTATACAGCGAAGTTATAGGATGCACCTAACAAAAAAGTGAGTTGAAAATGATGAAAACATGGTGAGCAACTCTGGAAAGTTGATTTTCTTAACATCCCCTATTAGAGCTCCAGCTGAAGTGCCTGCTACTCTTGGATGAGAAAGTTGTTGACAGAGTGGAGTTGTGTGAGTGCTCTGTACTGTATGTATTTGGGCCCGCAACACTGAGCATGCCTGGATGACCTGCTGCCTCTCTATAGAAGGTTACACAGTCCGACCTCGCTGATTGGCTGCGGCGGAATACCTCTGATTTCCCAACTGGCCCCTGTGCTCCCTCTGGACTCACACGGTTTGCCTGTTCATGTGCCCAAACACACATTTACATTTATATGAAAAAGAGGACGAGAGGGGGGGAGAGCGCCTCAGAAAAAAGGTAGGACAAATCCCGTTGCATTTCCACGGTGCAATGTCAAGCTCTGAGAAGCATGCAGGATTCGCACACAAATGGACCATAGACGGAGGAAAAATTCACTCCATTTCTGGGTAGTATGCGACAGTGGAGCTAAATAAACTGTTCAAGTCTGACGCTATTTCAGAAGTTACAAAGGGGGTAGGAGGATAGTTTTAGAACTCAGAGGGACTTGTCAATCCAGGCTGTAGCATCAAGAAAGGGATAGTTTATCTCAAGACACATTATTTTAACCATTTTTATTTAGACAAACTTTGATTCTTTATGTTATCAAATCTAAATACATTGTAGAGGCCCAACCACAACAGCAGTCATTTCAAAGGGTGTAAAAAGTTCAAACAAAGCAAACAGAAAAGTCAAAGTTCACACTTTTGCACAGTTACATGTCAGGTCTATGGAGAGATCGTTTCATTTTAAGGTTAATGTATACTTTATGTCCTCTGCATTTGACCCCTCCTGCAATCCCACAAGGACCTCTCTCAGGAGGAGCAGTAGAATTGATTATAAATAATACAAATGGTGTTTTATAGAATTCATTTAATATGGAAAAACAATGAAATTGGACAAACCATGTGCATTGCTGTAAGTGTTAATGCACATGTGCTAGTTGTCAACACTATAGTCCAGGGAGATTTAACTGATAAAATCCATTGTATACAATTTCAATAAAATGTATACATGAGAACAACTCTTAACCACAGTTTGAGCTCTCTGCTGAAGATGCTGTTTGGTCACAACTACCAGAGACATTATAGCACCATAGTTTGCTATAAAATGTGGTGTGAATTGGAAAAAGAAGTGCAGTTATTAGAGTTGGAGGATGTTTACAAGTACACATGTTAAAATACATACATAACCACCAAGAGAAACATAGTTCATAATAATGTAGTGCATGGAGGAGCTGCTTCAATGCTTCTGAGGTTAAGAATGCCACAAAAATGCCAAATTCTAAGTGCATACAAAGCACCTTTTGACGCTCAATGATGTGCTGTTGAATACAAAGGACATGAACCACATAAGCGGTAACCATACATAATGCTCTTTGGGGGAATCTTCAAATGATTTTTCCTCTCAAATCTACACCCTAACCTGTAAAAGAGTTATTCTATATGAACAGGCACAACTTTCCCAGACAAAGGCTTTTGTTGTGTACAGAGCTGAGGAAGAATAAGTGAGGAGGTCAGACATTTTCTCAAGACTGCGCTGGCTTCTAAAGGTCACAGGATAAAGGAGTGGGACGTATATGCTTTGATTCTTTGGGCTGAATGGTTAACAAATGAAAACAGCTCACTCAAGCGGAAAGAAATGTCAAGTGTTGTGCAGCTTCATGGAGCTTTATTCTGAGAGAAAACTTTATGACTTTTCAATGAACAGTTTGAGTTTGAAAAATGTGTAAAGCAACTTGCAAGACAAATGTTAGGTTTTAATAAAGCTCAACTAAAGCTGCAGGGGAAATGCCAAGTCAAATTCTTTGATTTCTACAAAGTCAAAAGTAACGTATGTATTAAGGATCAAAAACTAAAATACGTTTGAGGAGATCGGCGGTAGTGGCCAGTGCTATGTCTGCCCTGATGTCGTGCCTGGTCCCCTGATCACCACTGGTCATTCTACAGAGTGACTTTTTTCGGCCTTTTACTTAACAAGGAAAAATTAAAGTTTCTTACACAGCAAAAGCGATAAATGCCACATTTATTCATAGGGCAAAAAGACTAAACTCTCACTTTACTCACCAAAGATACCCATTTCATAAGATAAGAGAATTAGAAATGTCACATTTGGCATAGATAGTTACAGGAAGTGTGCAAACCTGTTAAAAATATAGTCCCTTTTGTACAAGATATATTATTTACAATAACAAATTCAAGTGACTCATTGTACAGTCTGAAAAGTCTTGTTGTTTATGTTTATGAACAATAAGTAACACAAGTTCTCAAATGATCCTTTTTTTCTAGAAATAGAAATAGAAACATATAGTGAAGTGTCTGAATGCAAGTTAGTGAAAAACAAGACTGAGGCAGGTGTAGAATTATAAACAACTCAATGTTAAACATTTTTGTTGGCTTTTGCATATTACAGGCAATACAGGCATATCAATGACATTGATATGCTGTTATCCATTTGTGCCATTACTGCATGTTCCTGCAGTCCTGTTAGTTGTAGTTTATAGAAGTGTGAAAGACTTTTAAATGCATCTAATTATTGTTATTAATCCATCCGAGCGCCCCCCCCCTCCCGAACACAGGACGAGCGTCTCATATAACGGGCTGTTAAAAGTTATTCCTTCGCTAAAGTGGAAACAACAATAGCAGAGTGCGGGAGAGTGGTCTCATGTTTACGCAACTCTTCCGCCGGCTCAAATCAACGCAGTTAATATTAAGTGGCTGCGCATTCTGACAGGATCGAGTCAATATAAGATGTTTTTTAATGTTGTGCCTGGGGGGAAAAATAGCTAAATGCATTTTTTAATGAAAGAAATTACATCCAGAGCTAAAAACACGAGGTACGTTTGCCGTTTGCGTAAATTCTGCATTTCCTTTCCTTGTATTAAGATTAAGATAGATCCTTTATTCATCCCACAGTGGGGGAATTTCAGAGTTGTATCACAAGTTACAGACTGTAGGACTGAGGAGCACCCAGAAGATTAATGAATAATAACTTTATCCAAAAATAAATAAAATCTTTAACTCTTGCATAAAAAGAAGCAGTATAAAATCTCTATCTTCAGCATAGTAAGGAAAAAGTCTAAAACTTTAGCATGATAATGCAAGACTCAAGTACAGAAACCATTCGCTTTAGCATAATTTAGCAAGTTTAAAATACTGTACATTCAAGAGCACGTAATATATAGTTGAATGTGTAGTTGAACTGCACTGAATGAGTCTTCTTTTAGGAACTCCATTTACTGGTTGAAATCAAAGTCTTTCTAAAAAAAACTTCACAGAGCTCACTTGAAATCACATCACTCTATTAGTCCATCTTTTCATGTGCTAAAACATTGGACAGAAATGTTACATTGGTTTGAGGAGCAATCAGCAGCTTTTGATTTGGCACTGAAAACATCCTTTTAAAAATGAAAAATATGAATCAGTTTAAATAAAGCTATTTTTCCTCTCGTGGATTGTAATCTGTTCATATTTGAAGTCCTTCTAAAAAGGGTTTTCCATTTTTATCAAATCCAACATGCCAAAGCAAATCAAATTCAATTAAGTAAACCCCTGGATAGTCTGAAGACTAGAGAACAATTACATACAGTAATACAGTTATTCATAGTGCATTGTACATACAGTATAGGTATGGACACTGCTAACATGTTAGCTATCTGACGTCCGCTCAGAGGAGTAATCTTAACAGGCTTATGTCACGGAACATTTTAAGAGAGCCTTTGTTCCTTCTGCTGTCAGAATGTACAACAGATCTGTATGAGTAAAAACTATGCACTATATATTGTTAGGTAGTTAGTTAGAAATGTTAGTTAGTTAGAAATGCTTATAATTGATGTACTTATGTGTTTTTATGGATGTGTTTTCTACTGCTGGACACCTGAGTTTCTCCAAACGGGGATCAATAAAGTATCCATCTATCTATCTATTTATCTATCTATCTAATAGGGAAGTGCTTATGAACAAAGTTTTGATCCTATTTGCTCTGACTCCCAATCAGGATGGGTAATGTTTTCGTTGTCATCTTAATGGCTTTTATGAACACCATGATTAAAGTTGAATGATGTGTCGATCTTGCCAAAGTGTCAGGATAGAAACATACTGGAGAACAGAATAAATACAACACTGTGACCATGTACTGACCCCAAAGCGACACTTCTAAACTTCCAAAGCAAAGCCTGCTCTTCTATACCATTAAGCCATTTGAAGGTCTGAGAAAAGCACTCACCTGACAGGTAAATGTTGTCCCCTGCAGAGATGACGCTGAAGAACTCGCGGTCGTAGAAGGGCAGGCTGGCCAGAGGGTACCACTTACTGTTCTGGGGGTTAAAGCAGGTCACCGCCGTCAGGGAGCGCTGGCTCATCCCGATGGCCTGCCGCCCCCCCACCAGAACCACAACCTCTGCCACACCTACGGAAAAACACAGGAGAGCGACATCAGGGCGAGGAGGAAAGGGTGAGGAGGAGAGACCATGGAATACACAGTAGAAACAGGAAAATAAAAAAAAGGAAATTAATGGTTCAATATAGCAGTTTTCTTTGTGATTTTGAGTTTTCTTTTTTACTTTTTACAACTAGTGCGGTGACATTTTATTTCTAATTCCTTCCTTTAAAACATGTGCTGGGTATAAGAAAGGCAGAAGACGCATATAATGACACAAAACCTTGGAGATCATAGACACACATTCAGTGACATCCAGCCACAGTGAGAGAGTGGATCAACAGTAAAAAAGAGAGCTCGAACAAAGCGATTCTTTAAATACTGCTTTTGAGGGGCTTTAGACTCCAAAAATTGAGCTTTTCAAAAATAACATACAATATATCTGGCAGAGATATGCTCTAGATTAAATCAACGTTGTGTATACCGCTAAATTAAACGCAAGACCTCTCAAAGAGTTTCTATAGAGCAGCTGTTAACATATTGAATAATGCGATTTGAATATATATCTCGAACTTCATTGACTTTTAAGTTGTTTCAAATGTTTGTAATGCATTGTGCTGATAAAACAGTGCAATGTGGGATGTGTTCAATTATTTACTTTGATATGCTTGTTTTGTGAGGGTTCTTGGCAACTGTGTTTATACAACTTTGAAATCTGTCTTCGCTGATCTTTTCCAAACACGGAGGGTGAACCAGCCAATCAAAGGAGGATCCTATAGGCACGACCTTAGCAGGATGCCTTTTGTTCTGTCCTTGGTGACTTTAATATTCTGTTCAAAAAAGATTTCCCTTGCTTCACAATAAATCAAATCAGTATTTCCGGTAAACTTGTACTCCGTTGTGTTTACTTTCCGTGTGCTGTTTCCATCTTTTTTTAAATGTATTTATTGTGTCTACGTAGAGCAAGGAGACATAATAGTAGAAACAGCTCCAGGTAAGTCTGCGAAGGCCAAACCCCACAGTAAACATTCCACATAAATAAAACCGGGAGAAAAATATCATCTCTGGCTCAGCACCGACAAGAAAGTAAACACAGTCTAGCAGTTAACACACATCTGCTTATTTTTCCATCCACAACCTTGACAAGCCACACTGACTTTTTTTAATTCAGTAAGGCCTTGGCATGGCTTGGTACACTTGTCTCCATTTGCAAAAATCAATGCAAATTTCAAAATGTTCTCAATTGACATGAAATGGGAAAGAGACGATTATAATATTTGTCACCAGTATTGTTGTGATGTTCTTGCAATTAACTGTACGGCCAAGAATGAATAAAAAAGCAAACCAACTAAATATTTGCAAATTTTAGAACCATTTCATTTTATAATACATAATACATATAGCTTTTAAATTACTCTTTAAGACAGGTGTTTACTGCGTTTAGCTTGAAAACATTTATTTATTTTATTGGGCATTATAGTTTCTGCTCAAAAGGAGAAGGCTGATGCAAAAAGTTTGTGAGTGCCCACCACTCAACTCAATACAACGTTTTATTCTCAATTATTCAAAGCCAGCATAGGAATAAAACGAACCATGGACATCGTCGAATACAAAATATGATAACTAATGCATGAAATAAAATAAGTAATAGGCCCAAGTATAATACCAAAAAAGGCTCAGTCAGTCACATGCTACAGTCACATCCACATTCAAGAGGCTTATTAAAGGCTCATCCACTTGTATGTGACACACAGAGCACTACTTTAGTCATCGCAGGAATCATGAACAAACCATAGGTCTAAAAATTAGTGTGTTCCCTTTGGCAAGTGCGCCCATGTGGAAACTGCAACAGAAGCATCAGTAGCAACGGAGATCACACCCCATAGGAAGCAAAGGGTACCGGGGTAAAGGTGCACTTTAAGGGTGACTTGTTTGCCAAAAAATATTCACAAATGATCTATTGACCCCTTGCATGTGACGTCCCGGCCACGCCCACTCTCCATGACAGACGGCAGAAGTCTATAACTGCGAGCCTACGGACACCTAACCAAAACAACCTGTTTCAGCGCATTACAGCCAAAACTCTGACATTTTGCAGTGCGGTTGATTATACTAACAGGCAAGGACATACGCTTTTTTATCTGATACCTGCTCGTCATGAAGACAGAAGACGACGATGGCCAGCGGCAATCAACCAAAAGGACTGGGACCCATTCAAGTACTCCCTAATATGCAGTGAGCACTTTTTACAAGATAAAGCAATCACAAGTTTGTATTTATTTTATTTCCATTAATTTGGAGGACAATGACACACTTCAAACGTGTCTCTTACTACTGTCCTGTATGTGCGCTGCAACATTGACATTTTTATCTTTTAAGTCAATTGCGTGTTTCACTATTTTCCTCTCCGTCAGAACGTATCATGTTTGGCTGTAGACAGAAAAGCCACAGAAAAGTGGACTATTGCTAATGCTACCAGCAAAATGTACATATAAATCTGTTCCAGTGTGAGGGGATGCATTGTTAACGATAATGATAAAGATCATGTAGGGGGGAGAAGGTACGGGTCAACATCCAGTTAGGCAATCCTTAACTTCTCCAAATACCACTCTTTGTGAGCCCTGATCTGATGTCCTTTCCACCTATAACGTAATCAAACATGTGCTTGAAGCAGCCACTTCTCGATTTTAGGAGAGGAAGCTCAGTTTTTAAGAGTTGTAGTCCGTTTTGCTCTCGCAGCAATGCTAGTTTCCAATACTTCCGTCGTAAGCTCATTCACAATCACGTGACTGGATGACGTTGATGCATCTGGTCAATATGTAATTTAGGCTCTGCTCAAAAAAAGCTCAGTTCATGAAGTTGTTGGGGAAGTGATACAACACATGGTATTCAACCAGTATTCATGTGCCACTTACTCTAATTGGATATTGAGCAAGATATACTGTATTAACATAAATCTTAATTTTAGTGTAATTTAGTAGAATTCAAATTCTACATTTATTTATACATGTATTCAAAAGATAAATATTAAAAAAGTGTCTTAGAACCCGTTCCAACAATCTTTTTCTCATAGAAATCCACAACTTTACAAATACCATACATTGATTCAATACCAGCAGACAACATATGTAGGTCCAGCCGCCTTTGGGAAAACTGACAAGAAGTGTCATGCCAAAAGTATTATCAAGCCATGTATATAGGCAAATGTAACTAATGTTTAGCTATGCCCAGGTGGAATTCTAAAATCAATAGTTGTGTAATGATTTGTGCACATTCAGAGTACACAAACCCAGCAGTGATCAAAACGATAGGGACAACATGTTTAAGTGGCGGTCTCCGAGTTTCTTGAGGAGCTTCACAGTTGGAGTGCAGTGGATAAAGGCGGCAGTGATCCGGAGTTGGCAGGCGGCCATCTTGTTTTTTTTCCCGGGCCCCTCCAAGACGCCGTGCTGCACGACTGACAAAACGAGCGCTGTGCTTTGAAGAGGAGCAGACAGATACAAGCTGAAGGGAAAGACTGGAGGGCATAAGGGAGAAAGAGAACTTCTAAACTCTATAAAACAGGTGAAAAACACAAAACTTTAAATCATGTGAAAGAATTGCTATCACAACAAATCAGTGTCTGAATGTTGGGGATTATCTGGACCCTTCCTTTTTTGAATCCATCTCAGTTTTCTAAAAAATCCACACTTCGCTCGTCCACTCTGCTTTTCTCAAATGGCCCAAAGCATCATGGGGGATGTAACTCACCGCACGATACTGCACATGTTGCTTGATTTTACAACCACAACCTTATACTTGCTTTGGAGATTTTACTTAAGTTTTATTTTGGTATAGAGTTATTGTTAATTTATCTTGTGCTGTGTGCTCTTCATTCTTACTGTTCTGTAACTGGTGATGCAACACTGAAATTTCCCCACTGTGGGACGAATAAAGGATCTATTAATCCTAATTTTGAGTCGTTCCTATGCGATGCAGGACAGGGATGTTCCAAGGAAAAACATTAACATGGAAAATTAACATTTTGGTCAAGTCCTTCAAGACTACTACTGTTGTGAAATAGAGCTATACAAATTCCATTGAATATGAGCTTTACCCCAAAGGAAGACAAGATAGTGGGAAGTTTAAAACAAATCTTGTATTAATAATAATTCATAATTCATTTTGCACACTTCACTTACTATAGCAATACTTTACTAAAAAATCCATGTGTCGCCAATACAAGCAGGTCTGCAGCATGTGGGCGAGTTAACAACACTGAAATGTTAATTAGAATATGAGTTTCACGGTTTTTGGCTATATATATATTTAATCCGTGTATCATTCGTTCTTTTGATTTTCTAAATAAAACCAACATTGAAAAAACGAATAACAAGGGATGTTTTTGATTCTCAATATTTGAATTTAATGCAAAATTGAAATATTGGTTTGTTTTTTTGTTTTCTGTGGATCCAATTAAAACGAAAATGCAGTAAACCAATAATGACCGTCTAAATTACATTTTGCGATTTTCCTTTGAAACACAAACGTCCCCCGGAAGTGATTCTAAAGTGCGCGTTTGTCACGAGACCAGGAAGTGTCGCCTCCAGGTGCTTGGATCGCACCTTGTTAGCGCTGGTTGTAGGAGAAATGTCTCTTAAAACTCTCCTCAACATCAGTCAGATTACCAGCTTTTTCGTTCGCTGCTGCAGAGACCATCGCAGATGAGAATTCTCAGATTCACGAGAGAAGGGGTTCTTCGATGAAAAATATATACACAAGTGTCAAGGTAAGACATAACTTAGCAACTAGCGCTAACAGCTAAGTTGGCATTAGCTCCGACAAACATGAAACACTTAGCGTTACACATGTAACAAATGTACCTAATGTGAGTGCTTTATTATTATAAATGTATGTTATAGACTTTCATATTATATAAGGACATGATATGTTTGTGTATTGGTGAAAGTAATCATGCTAAATTTTAGTAAATAAAAGATGATGCTAGATGTACCTTAACCATTCAATTGTGCTTTGTTTCTGCTTCATTC